GAGAGAGAGAGAGAGAGAGAGAGAGAGAGAGAGAGAGATGATCGATCGACTTGAAAGCATGCATGGTTGAAGTTGGAAAAAACAGCAGGGCAAGACAATCACCACCACTGCCGGAGTTAGGACAGTGTGACGCGATGATCTTGCCACAGACGCAAACAGTGAGGTTCACGGAAGCACGGAGGGATGATCTATTGACCCAACTCACATCGTAAGGCTCTCAAGGGCCTCCTGCTGGCTGCCTGATCCATCATCGCTCGCCCTTTGTGATCTTCCAGACTCTAGAGGAGACGCGTACTCAGTTCTTGAGCGGTTGTGTCGCGCTGTTGTTCGCGGTGCACTTCTTGGGAGGTACTCTGCTTCACTCTCCTCCCTCCCTCCCTTTTCTCCCTTGAAATCCTTCCCCTGCGCTTCATCTCGGCTTGTGTACTGTTTGTGCTCCCCACTGCCTCTGTTTCTACCTACTATCATATCTCGTCCTCGGGGAGGTGAGCCACTCAACGACCGCGATGACCGCCTTGAGTTCACACCACACCCATGTGTCCTTTTTATAGGCTGGGAGGGAATCTGGGACAGAAGCTGCTCATCCTTAGGTGAAAGGATGGGCTCCCGAGACTCGTTGGATGGCCTCTCTTGGCTCGTCCTTAGGCTGGGATGGTCTTCCTGGGCACCCTCACCCTCCTTTCGGCCTTCAACTGAAGCACAACAACAACATCAACACGACAGATGTACACTTCTTTGTCATGCAAACTAAATTCAATAACATAAAATTACTTACATACGCAGATGAAGCAGTATAAAAGTCAAAACCGACACCTAAAAGTGGGCGAGTGGGGAAACCGATCAACCACTTGTCTTCCTGTGCAAAGTACCACAGACCCAACTAACATGAGAGCACTGCGCAGGAGTCTTTGTTCCCCCCCTCCCCTCCCAGGGGAGGGCAGGGGGGAAGAGAGGGGGGGGTTCAACCACCAGTACGGCGAACCCTAAATGGCCGAAAGTAATTTTCATTTTGTACCTGAATGAATGGAATGCGTCCCTGCGAGCTCGTCGGGAGATCATTAAAATTGGAACGATAGAGAGAAGATTAGCATGGCCTCTACCAGTTTGTTGGTAGCCTAGCGTTGCAAAAATCACAAACACGTCGACTTGCTGTTGTGAGTCATTTTGCACTCGAAACAATTTTCTTTTCTTCCTATATTTTTCATGGAAAGATCAGGACCAAATCTACAGGCCCTCCAATTTTCGGAGTTTTGCACGCATTTGCCAAAGTTCAGACACTTTGGCCGAGACTGAGCTACTGGAAACTCGCCCGACGAGGCAAGCGGGTGGCAATACGCCCGCCACTTTCGATATTGGAAAGGGGCGGGCTCTGGTCACGACATTCGGGCACTTGCATACTGGAGCGGCAGCGCTGCTGGAGCGTGTGCTTGTGGGCTGCCTGCTTAGCACTAGGGGCAAGAGGTAGGGCGCGTACGTGCGGTCGTGCGAGAGGTAGGGCGCTGCTGAGGGCAGCGCCATAGCCAGCCCAACCATAGCAGGGCTTGACTTTGTTCAGCCAGTGGAAGTGGTGGAGGTTTTCGTGTAAGAGGGAGGAAGACGGGGGAAAAGTCGAGGGTGAGAGAGAGAGAGAGAGAGAGAGAGAGAGAGAGAGAGAGAGAGAGAGAGAGAGAGAGAGAGAGAGAGAGAGAGAGAG